TGTCCAGAGTCGGTAATTTATTTTAAAAATTGGTCGAACTTTAAACTTTCAATTTAAATTGATTTAGATTTTAAGATCATAAAAGACTACAAAATTTATGGAAATCTTGGAAATCTTTATAAATTTCTGCAAAACTCAATTTTAATGATAAAATCGAATACTAAATTCAACATCCATCTAGCAAAATTTTCCCAAACAGACCACAAAATACAGAAATCATTAGCATTAAAATGTTAGGCTTTGTTGACAGAAATCCCATAAAGAAGGTATTTAATGAGTGTTTATGTTTACTCTCTTGAATATAATAGAGATAAAGATGAATCATGCATTAGGTCAAAATTTGCATCATAAAGAATTTTTCAATCTCAATTTTTTGCACAAGTCAAAAGCATTGACTTCTTATAACATTTCGGAATAGCTTTAGCATTTTTAAGATTTTTTTCATCCTCGTCCCATAACTTTAAATATTAAATACAGAAAAAAATTGAATTTGGAATGAAGGAAAAAAAAACATTGCAAAGATTTATTCTTCTGCATGCTGTTGACATTTCGGTAATGTTCAATAAACATGATAAAAAATAAATGCTTTAAAAAAGAGACAGAGAAGGAAAGAAAAATTAATCAAATTTACTCATACACACAGTTTTTTGGACGGAGGAGGCAGAACAGTCGAGAAAAACTTTGTCTGATGCTTCATCATTGACATTGATATCCCCTCAATGAATACAAGAGGAAAAGATAGAAAAGGGAATGAGAAAATTCACAAAAAATTGCTTTTGCAAACATATCGATTTAATATTAAATTTAAAAAAATTCTAAACAAACTTTTCCTTCCTCTTTACGCTTGTTCACGGCACTTGAAGTTTTAGTTCGATTTTTCTCATTTTGATGTTCCCCATCACTTTGAAATTGTTGTTAAGTTGCGAAATATTTTGCCAATCAAACACTTCTCTTTATGTATAGAGAAATAAAAATCGACGATGATAGAAAGTTTTCTATGTGAATAGGGAAGTAACTTTTGCTACCGTTTAATGGGAAAAAATAAATATATTTTTTGTATGAACGCTTCATTCCCCTAGAGGGTATTGAGAGGCTGTAAAAAATAGGATGAAAAATTTCCACACCCTCAAATCATCCCCAACTTTTGCTCTCTTTCATTTTTCAACCACTTCCTTTTACTTTGTGTTGTTTTATGTGCTGGATTTGTGTTTTGTTTGGGATGTTGGAGGTCGGTTTGTCTGGCTGCATAAATATTCTTGCATTGAAACTCAAAACATATAAATATTCAAACTGATTCAAACAAAATGTCTAAATTCGTCCTGAAATGCGCTTTAACACAGAAGAAAACTTTTTATCTATAAACTATTTTGCCTTCCCTGGCCTTTTTCTTTTCAACTTTAATTCTCTTTTTAAATCTTTCATGATTTTACTTCCAAAAGTTTCCTAAAAAATCATAATAAACGTAAATTCCTTCAGTTTAAGAATGCATGAAAAGAAATTATTGTGCATTTTTCTTCGTCCTGTTCAATATCTCCATCCACAAACATCCCATCCCCTCATCGTGTACCGTCTGAAGAGAATAAAAGGAAAAACACATAATATTTATTTTTATAGCAGTCAGTGGTGAGGCATAATGAAATTATGATTTCCCATTCTCAACTTCCAACTTCGCCCTCATCGTTGTTGAGTTTGTTTTAATTCAACGCTTAAGTACTTATTTTATAAGTGGATAAGAACAGTATTTTTATGGTGGTAAAACAGCTAGAAAGAAGTGAAGAGGCGGAAATGAAATTATGAGAAAAGCAGATGTTTATCCAATTTTTATGAAATGACACTTCGCAAAAAGGAATTCCCCTCCCTATTTATAGCACTTTGCAGCTCATTGACAATTTCAATGAAAAGTTTTTATTGTCTGCTCAGACTGTAATGCGAAAATTTTCTTTTGGATTTATTTTACAATTGGCATAATATCTTTCAGGTGATTTGTTTAACATTGTAAAACAATCGGTAAGGCAGATTTAAAGTTTTTACTGTTTAGCTTAGCATGGAAACTTTGACTTTTTATGCATTCTTGATTAGATAAAACTTAGAACATTCCCATTAAAAAAACTCTCTGGTCTGGAGAAAATGCAAGATTGGGAATGTTAACTTACATATATAAGATCTGCGACCAATTAAGAATCAAACTGCAAATGCCCAAAACTGCTTTGACTAAAATTTGATATAAAATTTGACTTCCAGAAAGTGAAAATTCTAACGAGCCATTAACCTTTCACCAACCTTTCACACCATCCACTTGTTCACTTTCTACCTTTCAGTAATAAAATTGAATCATTAATCTATCAAATAACCATCCATAACCATCACTTCTAATATTCCTTATGACCTTTTCAACCTCTCATCGTGAGACCTTCAAGACATCAACCAACACCGCACATCATTTTAAATAAAACAAATGGAAATTGAATTATGGCTTGAATGAAATAAAAGTAAAAGGAAACCAACATAATTTTATTAAGTGGATAATTTTGACATCATGGAAAATGTTTTCATTTCTGCTGTTGTCTTCACTGATGATACTCGAAATGGAAGAAAAGAAAATTTGCTCAAAAATTTATGTCACGTTTATTGAATTTTTTGTTCAGTGCGTTTTTCTTTGTTGAGATAAAAAATAATGTGAATTATGTGGGATCCGAGTGGGATTTTTTGTATTTTTTGAGGATGGTTTGGTATGTGAAGCTGTTTTGGAAGTTGCTGCTAATTTTATTCTAAGATACATTCCTTAAGGACATTAGATCTATACTTAGAATTTAAAATGTAAATTTTCGTTACCCAAAAATATCGTCTAAAATCTCCCATGATTCCCACTAGGTTCATCATCCAAAAATTTCATTTTGTTTGTCTTCATTTCATTTCGCTAAATTTAAATTGCTTCTGACGCAGAACAACGAAGATACTTTAATAATGTCATCGAACATATACGAGAGTAAAAAATTGTGACAGCGGCATTTCAAGAGCAATGTAATGAAACTTAATATTCCTTTTCTGTTCTCATTCGCCCAATTATTTAAATTTTTTTTCGAAAATTATCCATTTTCGTGAATGAAAGAGGAAGAGAAGCAGTAAAAAGGAAAATGATACATATCCACAAGAGTAAGCATGAAGAAAACAATATTGCGAATGAGAACTAAGAAGGAGAGAAATCATGCTCGAATAGCAAGAACAAATATGGCATGACCTTAAATGAAAGCAAAAGGCAATTTGGTAATCCAAAGTTTGATCAAAAATATTTCAAATAAGGCATAAAGAATGTTAATTCCGAAAATATTTTGACCTTTTCTGTTTCCTTCTTCCATCATCACACTAATTCAGGCATCGATACGCTAAGTTCTTCTTCCTTTTTCTGCTTGATTAAATTATGTTTTAATAAAACGACCAAAGCAAAGAATGAAGAAGTATATAAATATTAATAAAAGAACTAGATAGATAAATAAATCTATTGATCATCATAGGAAATATGAATCTCCCATCCGGAAAAAATTCTACGTTTTTCTCGCATGAAAAAAGCCACTTTTTTCTCGCATTTCTTTACTTTCATTTTTTAGCTGATTAAAATTTTTTTGCTCTTTGAAAATTTAATTAAAAACACACTGAAATGAATTTTTGAGTCTTCCTGAGTGGAAGCAATTTATGTGATGTGGTCACTTTGAAGATAATCAATTTTATAATCAGAAAAATCAATCAGTTGCTTTTATCCTTTTTTTATGGTTGAAATTTTAATGGATATTAATCAAAAAATAAAAAAAAACACAATTTATAGAACTTCACAATTGATCTTCAAATGAAGCAACATATTTTGGTAAATCTTAAGTGTCATCAGACTACGATCATTATTAATCAATCATAAATGCATACACAACTTTTATGCTCCATCTTTATTAAAGTACAATCTATGTCACCTTTCAGTTTTATTTTACTGTCCATATTCATAAAAATATTTATGTCAATGTCCAAAAAAGTAGAATGAAAAGAGATTTTTACGATAGTAACAAAGTAAGACGAGTGCTAAAAAGAAGAGGAAATAAAATTGATGAACTTCAATTTGGAAAGAAAAAAAAATTGTGTATATGTGCATGCACATTTCCCTTGGGTGAAATTATTGATAACAATAGAAAGAAGTCTGAAAACAATCATAAAGAATAATAATGTCTTTACAATAGTGCTAAGTAAGCTTGATTGTAAGGCTTTTTGGGCATCGATTTTTACTACGAATAATAATATTTGTGATGGACATGTAGCTTGAATCGAGTAACTTTTAGAAGTTCATCGAAAGATTCCAATCCTTCAAAAATGATCACCAATTCCTTAAAATACCCAGAACAATATTTCAACATCAAGCATTAATATTTTGATATCAATCAGGAACTGACTCATTTTAAACACTCATAAGCTTGCTTCTTACATTATGTCATGTGTCTTATCAACATTTTGATTTAATTGATATATAACTCAATCACGACTGAAAATGATTTGACACAGTTGGATCTTTTGTTTTCCTTATCAATAAGCTGATCAGTTTCGTCGGCAAGCTTTGTCATAAAGTAGAGAATCAGACCTGTAATCGTTATTTCTGGGTGATTTTTCATTTCTATCGACATTGATGAAAATCTTTCTGGATTATAATTTTTGAAAATTATCTTTTGAGTTTTTATGGCACAATTACTTATTGAAAGCTTATACAAGTCTAAAATCAGATGTTCACAAGGATGATTGGATATTAATAAACAACATTGACTTTTAATTCCTAAATTGAATCATCATTTTTACAAATCACATGAAGTTTGTCAATAACAATAAATATTCATCTCAAAGAACTAAATTTCTTTAATCAATACTAATGTCACTTGATGTAAGCAATCAAAAAGGTTAGAATACCAAATTTGTGATAAATCTAAAAAAAAAAAATATAAAAACGACAATTCAATTTTAATTTTTTTTATTTATTGATTTGAAAACATTTTAACAACATTTTGGATCAATTCAGGGCCAGTTGCATCTTGTCCTGGAAATTTAACTTTGATTTCTTGATCGTTGATGAGTTGCCCGAGAAGTTTCACAAGTGTGGCATCAATATTGTTATCAAGTTTCAAATCAGCTTTTATTCCAACAGAAATGATGTCACCGACATTGTTTGATGAAATTTTGGTTGGTGCTGCACTGATAGCAACAAATAAAGTAAGAAAACAGACTATTGTGACTTTCATGTTGAGGATGCTTTGTTTATGTCCACGAAACACGTTGTAATTAATGAATTAAAAATATAGCAAAACTTACTTATTTATATTCCTTATAATAATTTTATCAATTACATCAATGCTGTTATCTGATTATAAATCGGCTAATTGTATGGTTGATAGTGATCAAAACAACTATTTAAGATTCTGTAAAAATTTAACTTTAACCAAAATTACTATCAAGAAAGTTGTGTAATCCTTTAAATCTATCTTTAGGTGTCTATAAAATAATCATCACTTCTGAATATCATTTATTTGATAACTGTGTTAAGTAACAATTTGTTTCTTTTGAAAATTAGCAAATAATCAATTTAATGAACTTAATTCTTTTATATGAGACATATCCATTGAATCCTACGTCAGCAATAATATTTTTTCGCATCATATACAGAGACAACACATGAAATCACTTGTCATTACAGCCATCTTGCACAATTTCAATACTCTCTAATCCAGAAATTTCTTTGCTAAACTCTGAGCTGTCAACTATTACTTCATTTGAGCTACTATCGAAATCATCATACACTATAACATCTGAGGGTCCTTCAGAAATACTTTCTTCAATTTCAGGACGATCTAAAAAAATTATTCAAAATTTTAACTCCGAACTGGATGTTGACTTTGAGAACTTTTCAATCCAAAAATAAAACTTATGACTAAGGAATTTATTTACCTCTCTTGTTCCTTATCAAATCTGCAACATTTTCGTCTGAATTTAAAAGTTCATCATGACTAATATTCATCGCAAAACAGCCAAATACGAATAATAATGTCAAAAGTAGTTTAATCATTTTAAGGTTCTGTGTCATAAGTTTACTTGTTGAAATCAAAATTGTGACTGAATATTAAAATCAAATAAATACTCTTAAGAATGAAACCATGTTTGTGTAAATTTTCACACTTAAATAAATCATGGTTGGTTTGCATATCAATTTTACAATATTAAGATGAACTCTAATGAGAACCAAAGATTACAAATATAGAGTAAAATCTACGAACTATCAGTTTTATTCAGTTTTATTCAGTTTTATTATTTAATATTTTACACGTGAGCTGCTTCAAATGTTATGAAATGATTCTAAAATGTTTACAAATAGAAGTTCTTTCATACAGCTTTGTTTATAGTTTCAATTATCAACATTATTTAATAATTTCACTGGGATTTTTATTTGTATTTTTTGAACATTTAGCAAATGTGACGCTCGGGTATTGATTCAAGACATAATTACAAATTTAGCCATTTTATTCTAAAAGATTTAAATTTGGAATTCAAAAGTTTGATGATGCATTTATGTACTTATACGCGTACAAATTAAAACATAATGTATGATTTTAATGCTTCATTTCTGAATTAAATTAATTTTCATTTGCTAAAGATTAAACCTTTTGCTCAGAGAATTATCTATAAGCATTAAGTTTAAGTTTGTTTAACTATTCATTTAGCAACTCCTAGTAGTAGTAAGCACACGAGATTCCGGACAATGGAAAAAATATATTTCCAAATTTTATTATTTTACATCATCCTTTGTGCATCTTGTTTTGGATGAAATGGTGCTGCTAAAGGTTCAGGATGTGTTTGTATTGGAAGCACTTGCTCAAATTGTAATGTTGGATGAGAAAAGGAATTTTGATTGTTGAATAAAAAAAAAAGTTTTGAATTCTTAAAGCTTGGCCTTTTCACTTTAGTCAAGTGAACATTTAATTAATTGTGGATGTAAAGATTAAAGTTAAGAAGAGGGGTTATAAAGTATGCGATCGACACCTTGTTACTCATACATATTTCACCATCAAGTAAAATCATCAACATGTGTTACTAATCTAAAGCTTAAAGACTTTTTAATGGATAAGATTAAGGATAAGATAAAGATTTTATCTATTTTTAAGCTACAAAATTTTATTAATTTTTATCGAATCAAAGTTTTTTGTACAGTATCAAATAGCAGCTCATCCAGATCAAAATCTAGTCACCAAAAAAATAAAAATGAAACTAATTTTCACAATTTTCATCGCTTTGATTGCTATAAGCTTGATTGAAGCACAAGATGCTGATTCTCCAACACAAATATCCAACAACAATTTAGGAAACGTAGTAAATGTTGGCGTTGAAGGCAGAGTTAATGTTCAGAGTGAGACAAATGTATTTTTAATGTCACTCATTGCTGCATTGACTAATCAAAATGGAATTATCGTTGCACCAACAAATGAAGCCATTGCAGAGGTTCCAGAAATTGAACCAGAGGCACAGCAAATTAATCCTGAATTGGTTAACAAATTTTTAACAATGCTTGGAAGATAAAAAAAATTAGTTTTAAGTGACATGATTTGAAAACATAAGCCACATGTGCAATTTTTGGAAATAAAAAGATTTTTTATATCAAATTTGTGTCTATTTTTATTAATAATTAAGTCTATGAATCACATTAATGGATCAAAGTCCACTCAGTAGTCACAATTGCTGCATTCATCGTCATTGCACTGGCAACGTATATCTCCTGATACTGGGATGTCAATAGATCTTGACTCTTGAATGACTGGTTCAATTGGAATGTACTGTATGCCATTGAATGTCAAGCTTCCATCCGAATGAATTATTATATTTTCACTTGAACCTTCCTTGAAGTAAATTATCACCAAAAATAATAAAATTACTGATGCTGCTTTCGACATCTTCGTAGTTTGAATGGTTTTTAAAGCATGGTGACTTCTACCTTTTATAAATGGTCGAATTTGCAATTCAAAAACTTATTTAAATTTAAAGACTGCTTTTTCTTTCGTAACTCATTGTTCTAGCAAGTGTGAAATAAAAGAAATTAACACTTTAGTCAATCTTCTCGCAAGATCAAAAACCCCATCAAATTCAAAAGTAACCAGTCAATCAGGGAGGGAAGTGGCTAATAGAATAAACAAAAAATAGTTTTTTGTTCCGAAAATTAGAACATTTTTTATTGGATATACTTCTTAAAATAAAAATTCACAGATTATTCCTGTTGTTCAAGCAACTGTGTAAACATTTGAACTAATTTAGATTGTACTTCTGGATTATTATCACCGCCAAGAGCAACAATTAAAGCTTGCAAGTTCTTCCAGATAAGATCGACGTCAACTCTGGTGTAGTCAATTTGGTTAATGACATCCAAGTCTGCTGTAACTCCAACGTTGACGATGTCACCAACATTGTTATTTGAAATTTGGCTTGGTGCTGCTGCGATGACCACAATAATAGCGAAAAGAACAATTAAGATTGATTTCATGATGATCGGTTGTGTGCTGTTGACGGGTATGTGAATAAACTGAAAGGAGTGGCTTGTTGCTTGAGTAATTTATAGACTATGTACTTATCTATCAAAAGCTTATTGAGGACTTCCAATTTACTACCATTTAATGCCGATTATTTAAGCGATACTGATTAGTCGGTCTGGGAAATTTTTATGATTGATTGTCGGCATTTGACAAGGAACTCTTGGAATCTTATGAAACATGTATTTTAAACAATTTTGGAAATGAACATTTAACGAAACATATTGCATAAAAAACCAGCAATTAAAAAAATTCATCAAAGTTACGCAAAGGATTACAATGATACTTATTAAACCAGAAATACAGCACATTCGTTCATAATATCAATTAATCGTTTTTATGATATGAGAGCTTTTATAAAAAAAATAAAAAGCCCCTTCAAGCGATAAGAAATCAGTCAAAGAATATATAAGACACAACAAGACAATAAAAGGTTCAGTTTTGAAAAATTTAGCCTTTCAACACAACATTTATACGCAATGAAGTTTATTGCAATTTTAGTCTTTGCATTTGCTGCTGTCTGTCTTGCTCAAGATGGTCCATCGAAAATTGATAGCAACAACATCGGAGACATCGTTAATGTAGGCGTTAAGGCTAGAGCACATGTGAACAACCAAATTGATGCAACTTTGATCAGCATATTATTGAAGGCATTGAATAAACAAATTATTGGAATCAATGGACCAGGAATTGATGGAGACTTTACTTTACCAACTCTCCCACCAAATTTGCCAACACGTCCACCAATAGAATTCCCCACACCACCACCAGCTAAATAAAGACTTAATTTTTTATAAGGAAATAAAAGAGAACAAAAAAATTGTAAACCAACGACTTTTTCATATTTAAACTAAATTTTTAATGTTCAGAGCCTTATAACAGTTTTTTAGCATTCGTATGGTTTTCAAACATTAAAAGACTCAAAAGGATTAGTTCATAATAAATTTTATTCGTTTCATTCTTAGTGTAAAGTCCAAAAACAACGTCAATCATTGTGCATAAATTTAATTATGGGCAATTCCATGAAATAGTTTCATTGTTTTTACATTTGAGTTTGATCCAAGTCTATTAAATAAGAAATATTATTTTTCAAATATTTCGATTAGATCCTTTCATATCTTGTTTTATTGAGAACAATTCTCAAGAAGGAAGAAAAGTTTCAAGCCCCGCGCTTAAAAACGTGGAACATTTTCATTAAATTAATTAAACAGTTTCCAAGTTATATTAGTTGAGAAAAACTTCTTATAAAGTGCCAAGGGTTGTGTTTTCCTCAAGGAAAATGAGGAAAGTCAAAAGAAAGCAAGATTTGTCGCCAAAAATTGATTTGGACGAAAGTTCAATTAAATCTAATGAAAATTCCAAGAAGAGGAAGCAATCGCCTCAGAAAGAGGAATCATCGGTTCCAGTCACAACAACAACTTCAGTCAAGCCAATATTTGTGCAATGCAGTCTCAAGGATGTGAGAAAATTAATTTCACTATTGAAATTGCAGGTTATGCCTGCATATATAACTTCATCATCAAATAGAACTCAAGTAATTGTCAAGTCTATTGAGGATAAGGCCTCAATAATAAATCTTCTGCGATCTCAAACTATTCAATTCCACACCTTCTCCGAGAAATCGGAGAAAACAAAGTCATTCGTTCTGAAAGGATTTTACGAAACAAAAACGAATGAAGTACTAAGATTACTTCAAGAAGCCAAGGTTTCAGCTGTCAAAGTGACAATTCTCGTCAAGAAGCCCGAGTTCACCTTTTATCTTGTGCATTTTCAAGATGAAAGTGTGAACATCAACGTGCTCAATCATAACCACCGTAACATCGACAACATCATCGTCAAGTGGGAGAACATCAAGAAGGGCAACAAAAGCCCAACGCAGTGCTTCAACTTCCAACGTTGGGGTCACTCATCTCAAAATTGTGGATATAAGTTCCGATGCGTCAAGTGCACGGAAGTTCACGGACCAAATCAATGTCAACGATCCACTCGTGATGGAAATGCCAAGTGCATTAATTGCAATGGCGATCATGCTGCCAGTTATAGACTGTGCCCATCGTTCATTTCGTATTCCAAAAGAATCGAAAAATCAAGAGCCAAACCACAACTCAAAACTCTTTTAGTTATAAGTTCTTTAACGATATCAACATATCATTGTAACTTAATTTAATTATATGCATAAAATATGAAAAGGCTAAGTAAGGTTTTTATGCCATCTGAAATAGTTTAAATACTTTTCACATGGCTTTTCCTTGCGAGTAATAAATAAATAATAATAATAAAAAAAAAAAAAAAAAAAAAAATACTGCCACAGATATCAAGTCTTTTTTGGACAGTAACAATTTTCCATCGTTAAGCAAACGACATCAAGTTTCTGCTCATTCACATCCAGTGAATGCTGCAAGTAACTCATCAGCAACATTTCAAGAAGAGATTAATCAGCAACAACTGATCAATAATATCAGTTATGCAGAGAAACTCAACGAAGCAGTAAAGAATGAAAGCCTTTTCAAGAAATTCACAGAAGCTCAAGAACGTCTAAAGAGAATCCCCAACATTGAAGAAGCAATAAATCAGTTCTGCAGTTTCGTAGACGAAGCCGGAAAGATCCCAAAGGATGCACCTCAAGGAACTGCATTTAAACTCATGGTGAAGTATGACTTCATGAGCTGCCCACCAGCACCGAACAAGCCAGTTCAAAAATAATTTATTAACGTAGTTCATAAGTTTAAAAAAAAGCTTTTTTTTTTCTCGCTCGGCAACTTTTTTTAAACTTTTTATGCCACATTTTCATGATATATGTAAATCTCATTCATCAAAATTAATAATTAATCAAGATATAGTTGAATTAAAGCCATATTCAGGCTGGTGTCAAAATAAGACTCAAAGAAATGTAACTTAAACTACAATAATTCCAAATTTGAAATAAAGAAAGATTTGTTTCTCAAGAATTTGTTTTGCAGTACTTGAAGTTTTTGAAGGTGGGTTTTTGCCATGCTTCCAAATGCTGGACAACCATATGTGAATATTGGTCTGATGGCTAGCTTGTAGATGAGAAGTTTGTTTCGTACGTCGAGTTGTGAGTTCCTGCTGATGAGCGGATAAAGCTGTCTTAATGCGGTGTGAGCCCTATTGGTCACATACTCCACATGCGGCTTTAATGTCACTCTCTTGTCGATCACCATTCCCAGATATTTAGCTTCTGTTTCCCATTTGATGTTTTCGTTGAGAAATTTGATGTTATTTTCTGGTAGTTGCTTGGAGTGCCTGTTTGTGATGAATAAGGCTTGAGTCTTCTATTTGTTGAGGTTGATCTTCCATTTGTTCATGTACTGTTGAACTTTTCTTCCTATATGCTGTAGATGTGTCACAATATCGGCCGAGTTCTCTGCTGAAAGATACAGTGCTGTATCATCTGCGAAAAGACCGATGTTTGATCATACGTGAAGATGTTGTAGAGAGTTGGTGAAAGCACTGCTCCTTGTGACACTCCGAATTTGATTACCTTGATTTCTGAGAACTGACCTTTTATAAAAACTGCGAAAGATCTTTCACTGAGGAAAGATCTTATAGTTTTTATAAGTGGCAGTGGAAATCTCAGTTTGAGCATTTTGTACAAGAGTCCGTTATGCCAGACTCTGTCAAATGCTTTTTCTACATCCAGGAAGATCATGCCTGTTGACTTTTTGTTGTTTAAGTTTTTTTTTGCTGATTTGATCACTGATTTAACTCATTTGCTAGTTTTCCAGGTTTTGGAATAGGAATCACTTTTGCGTGTTTCCAAACTTTGGGGAAGTGATTGAGCTTCAGACACGAATTGATGATGAATTTCAAGTTTTCGAAACCTTTTTCAGGAAGATTTTTGATGAGTATGTTGTTGACTTCATCTAGTCCCGGACAAAATTTTGCTATTCGCCAAACTGTTTGGTTTGACGGTTGAATCTCTGAGAGACGTTATTTCAGTTTTTGTTTTTGAGTTCTTTAATTTTCTGATTGATGACTCTCTGCAGATAATTCAATTCAGATTTGAGTTGATTATCTCTGCTTCTCTGCCATCTTCGACGAAGACTCCTTTTTGTGTTGATTAGATCATTAATCTCCGGTGTGAGTTTAGTTGATTCGAAGTTGATCTTTTTCATTTTTATACTTGAGTTCCTCGCTTCCATGATGAGTTCAGAGAGAATCTTAATGTGATTCTCGATCTCATCTGCTGTATTGCAAGAATTTTCTCCAATGTTGTCTTCGATGGGGCGTGAAATTTGTGCTTTGAACTTTTTCCAGTTTGCATTTTTGTAGTCATATCTGTAGACTGTATTTTCAGTTCTGTTGTTTCGAAGTCTTCACAGATGTAGTAATTTCCTCTCAGATTTGTTATTTTGTTGATATCATCTCTCAGATGTTGATCTATTTCCCCTCCTTTGCTTCATCCTGGGGTCTGACTTGTTGGACTGATTCAAGTTATTTTTATTTCCCTGATTTGAGGGTTTGTGATTTGGAGGAGGATTTGTGTTCCTTGGTTTGTGGTTGACTGGAGCTTGTTTTTGATGAACAGGCTTTTGTGTACCAGATGTTGTTGGATTCCACATTATTCTTTCTCCATTGAGGTTTTGGTGCATGTTGGGCGTTTCTGGTTAATCGCTCAGGAAGATGCAGAATTGGAGGATTGTTTCTCCGTTGTCCAAGTTGTCCATATGAATAATGGCCTGCTGTTTTGTTTTGATTTCGGTTGTTTCCATTCTGTGATTTTGATTTCCACTTTTCAATTATTTTACAACCTGTGAAAATTGCTGTATGTTTTTCACCGCAGAAGAAACATTTGAGTTTTCCGAGTGGAACCTTGTTGGTCTCTTTCGATATGTACTGCCACGTTTTCGAGTCATGTTGCTCAGAACATCTGAAGCAAACGGACGGTTTGTTACAACCGTTTTGTCCATGACCAAACTGCAGACATTTCGAACATTGAGATGGTCCAGCTTGATTATTTTTGTAGTCAGCCCATTTAATTTTGAAACTGCTGACAATTTTGATTTTTCTGAGGAATTCCAGGAAATTTCCACCTTGTTCTACATCTTTTTTGAAGTACACGAGGTAGTTCTGGTCGTCGTCTTGTTCGTGTCTTTTGTGTTTCATTGTCATTTTGACAATTTTTACTGGTGTGATTTTTACGGTTTGAAGTTCCTTCTCCAACTCACTGGTTTCCATATCTGGGAGTCCATAGAGTACGTACTTCTTCAGTGGTTCTTGGCTGGATATGTGTGGAAGTGATGCTTTTTGTCTTTGAGTAGTTGGATGAATTTCTCGTAGTAATCCCAACTCTCCGTTGTTACCGTTTTTGTTCGTTGTTTGCCCTTTTTGGACTCAATTAAGAAACTTCCAGGTTGATTGTTTATTTCATTCGTCAACCTCTTGATTTCACCAGCTCCACCTATGCTGATGACAATTGGAGGTAGTTTTGATTTTTGTTGTTGTTGCTTTCCGTGTTCACGGAAATTGTCTTTTGTTGCTCTGATGTTTTGCTGTTTTCTCCCCAGTACGATGAAGTTGTCGATCTTTTTTTCTCCTGTTCTGGTGAACCAAATAGATACGGTTTTCCAGAAGACGAAGCTTTCTTCATTGGTGGGAGTACGAACAGTGGTTTGTTCCCATCTTTTGGTTTGCTACTCTTTTTAAAGGAGCGTTGGGAACTATCACTTCTCGGGGGCGTTTTTCTGCTTTTTTTGCTTCATTGAGAAACTTCTTTATTGTTTTTTTTTTTATTTGAGATTTGTCATCTCAATGTCGGCTGCTTGTGAAACATTTTCATTGGAAATTTCCTCAATATTGAGAATTGTTACTGAAGATGAATGTTGTTGTTGAGAACTATTAAGACCATGCTGATTTTGAGAAAGATTTTCTTCGTGGTTGATAGTTTTTGGTGATTCTACCATTTTGATGTTTTGAGAATCAAAATGAGATTTTGAAACTTTTTGCAACCAAAAAGCTTCTCAGGTAATCTCTGTTTTGTTTCTTTTGAGATTTTTGAATAATTTGCGGAGCGATTTGTAAACACGTCTGTTCACGTTGAGATCTAGTTTGCAACTGACTCAACTAAAACTATTTTTCATCCTAAAATATGAAATGAAAAAATAGAATTTTAAAATTTTGAATTCTGTATTTTTTCACGGAATAAATCTCTCCGTTACTTAGTAACATCTTCTTAAGTCACATAGAAATTAAAATTGCTTAATTAAGCACTTTTGAGTTAATTTAATGCTAGATTTTGGTAGCTTGATAATCAATCTTTGAGTTGTGACAGTCTTTATTATTAACAAATTGCGGAAAGGAGAGAAAAATCACTTTAAGTGAGTCTCCAAATTATTTTTCCTTCGATTGTGTTACTAAGTAATGCCAAAAGAATTGAAATAATTCTTTAAGTAACCACTTTAAGTAAGCGAATTTCAGTCAATTAAGTAGACTATGATGTTTTTAATGGCCTACGAAAAGCTTATTTGCAGTAGAATAGTCTAAAGATGTAAAAATCAATTTGGAGAAAAATTGTAGACAAATCGTTTCATGGAATTGCCCTTATTAATCATCCAGACTTATTTTCTTTAGTCTTGAAAAATTTTCCTATAACACCAGTACAGGAGGCAGATCCACAGTTGCATTGAATACCAAATCCCTTGCCAAATTCCATTTGATAATTGAATGTTAATTCTGAGCCCTAAATTGAATTAAAAAAAAACTATTATTAATCAACGAATAATAAATATACAAATATACTTACAGCCTTAATAAATTGATTGCTAAAAATGCCAATTCTAGTTATGCTATCAACATTGACCTTTCGGATGTCACAATTAGGATCGCAAGAATGATTAATAAATCGTCCTTTGTTTGAGTAAAATTCAGCATCAATGCACAAGTCGTTTTTTATAGTCAGAAAATAATATTCCTTCTCATTACGTTCCTTTTTTCTTAGCAAGCGTCGATTTAGTTCCTCATTATTAATCAATTCTCCAATGTATTCAATGATAAATGTATTAGGCTCAATATCCTCAGTACAAAAAGCTCCAAATCCACGTTCCTTAGTTTCAATAATTCTCAAATTAGCATTCTCACGATTTCTAACCTTTTGGTTCTGACACTTTTGTCCAGCAGGACATGATTCGTCACATTCAATAAATAATACAGCATTTATACAGGAATTACTTCGAGTACATGGTGATTTGTCAGTAGCTTTGCAAGTACATGGTTCTACTGGTATTTTCTTTAATTTTACAGGTTTAACTGGACGGCATATTTGAATAGCCTTGTAAATAGCCCTAGACGATTTTAGTTCGACTCGAACAGTCTCATTTAATTCATTTAAATTAGTTTGTTCCAATTCAATTTTAGCATTTTTATCTAAAATTATCAATAGCTCTTTTGCTTCCATTATTGCCTTGTTGTATGAATCATCAAGCTTACTTTTGCCTTTCAATTTTCCAATCGTATCAGCATTGTCATATGTTAATACCTGTTGATACAAAAGTTTAAATGAAGTATGAAATTTTTTAATATTAAAAATTAAAGTTAATTTCCTTATTGTATGTTGTGTAGCAGAAATCATAAGTTCCCAAGAATCGAACGCAAAACTCGGAGTCATCCTTTTGCTTATTCAATAAATTTAAAGGAACAGTCCATGGAACCATAACAAATCCAGGCCACCAACGAAAATTTCCAACTTTAGCCCAAACAACCGAATTATAAAGAGGAAGTATACCAATAACACAATCATCGCATCTATATCGTTTTATGTCACTTTCCGGAATTTCAACAGGCATGCACTTACTATGGACTGCTCTTGGACATGTATTGCATAGAATTAACCGAATTAACTTTCCAGTTTGTCCGCAGACTGTGCACAAATTAACATTAATTGGCTTTGACTTGTTTTGTTGATGGTGACGTGGGCAAATCATCTGTGTACGCGAAATTGCACGAGTTGCGACAGGAATGCACAAGATGTCAGCATGATAAGACATTGGGCACATAACGCAAAAAACAATTTTTCCATCTCTCGTTCGATCATTCAAATAGCAAGTGTGGCAATAGTGCTTTAGGCATGATTTTGAGTTCTTGCTTATCAATTCTAAGCACTTTTTGTGATACTGTTCATTGCATTTGGTTTGTTTGCATTTATAATTGTTTTCATCTTCTGGATGTAAATCTTCAGAGCAGATTGAACAAACTTTGACGTCTTTGATACATGTGTCGCATACATAGTTGATTTTCAGCTCATCCTTACTTGTTGATGGCTCTTCCTTCGAGTTTAAGCATTTTAAATGAAACTTTTTATTACAATTGCCGCCACACAATTTTAAGTCTTTATCGTCTATTTCTAAGCACTTCCAACATACAACTTTCTGTTCTGCACATCGAAATAAATAGTCTTTATCCTCCTCAAGATGATCAGGCAAAAAAAGCTCATCCAAACTTTTTGGTTTTGAAATTTTTCGTTTTTTTAAAGGTGGGGGATTAACCTTTTCCTCAACTTCCTTTGCTTCCTTCTTGATTTGTTTCCGTTTTACAACTCGGATTGAGGATCGTTTTTTCAAGTGCTTTGGTAATTCCATGTCCTCATTATCAATCTTTTCAGCATTTTCTTCGTACGAAATCGGTTCCAATTTAACTAAAGTTAATGAAAATGATTGAATATCGACATATTTCGACCATTTTTCATGCTTACCACGCGTTATATGTCCGTCACTTCCTAATCCAATCATTTCAAATTAGTAATTAAGCCTATTTTCTTGTTATTTAATTAAATTTTCTTATTTAAAACTAAGAATGAAAATTCAATGTGAGGAAGATTAATCTTTGAATTTTATGAAAATACGTTAAAATTTTTGATTAGCAAATCTTTGAATTTAAAAATGTCGTTATAAATTTATCAAATAATTTTAACAATTTGTACGGCCTGTTCTGAAAATATTAAGGTTCATAAGCAGTAAAATAAGCTATAATTTTTGTTATTTATTTATCAATTTATTAATAAAATTATTTTTGCATTTTTTTCAAGAAAGCTTGAATTAATTCTGGTGAAATTTCAAGTCCTTTTGTTGGAAGTCCTGGGAATCTGTCATCATCATTCAAATTTGGCAAATTAATGTCTCCAAGCAAAATAGCTTGCAAGTTCTTGACCAAAACATCAAGGCTGTACTTGTCAACATTGATTTTGTTGCTAAGATTGAGATCAGCATCAATTCCAACGTTTATAATGTCCCCTACGTTATTATCTGTGATCTGTGATGGTGCAGCTGATATAGCAGCAATAATAGCGAAAAGGATAACAAAAAGTTTCATTTTAATGATATTTGGAATCAATCAGTTACTTTGAAAATATTGAAGCAAACTAATTGAAATCTCAGATCTGTAAAGGTTTTTATAATAAGCCATTTTTTTCGAGCATATGAGCCGACAGTCGCAAGAAGCTTAAAGCATATAAAGCTTTGGCGGCATGGTTCAATAGAATTATTGCTTAATAGCAGTCGGTTGTGATAATTTGTCATATCAGTTCGATTGATGATTGCTATCAATGACTAAGAATCCTCAATTATCCCTTTATTGGATTGATAAGGAATTAGGACCAGAAAATTTCGCTTTTGTTTGTATGATTTGTTTTCCGTATTGCTACCTTTTGAGTTTTTCATCATTTACTAAGTTTCTCAGAGCTCAAAATTTGTTCGATTTTTGAGGTTTATAACTTGATCAGATTGGATAAGGGGCTGTTCACTTATTACGTAACGCGAAAAATGACTTCTTAGACCCCCCCCCCCCCCCCCCCTCGTAACAAAATTTGTATGAAAAAAAAATTTCCTTGTTTGAACCGTAACAAAATCTTAGACCCCCCCCCCTCCCCCTAAAAGCGTTACGTAATAGGCATTGCATCAAATACAATAATGATAGATTTTCCAGATCATGATACTAAGCTAAATGTATGGAAACACCCCAATTGCACAAAATCAGTGATTCAAGTTATTTTATGAACTTTGAAGCTTAATGAGACATTAAAAAATTACCTTTTTAAGCTCCTTAAATTCTTCAATGCTGATAGCAACATCTGTTTTCTTGATAAGACCTTATCGTGTCTCGATATCAAATTAGTCAGAAAAAAATAAAATTGGAAAAATTCAGTCATGAAATTAAATATTTTTTTATTGCTTGCATTTTCGATTATTTCACCATTAAATGCATCGGAATTGAGTGCTGAAGATTTGAGTTTTGAGGAAGACAGTGTTGAAATCTTTGGAAATGACGATGAACCAGTAATGAACATAATGGCGGATATCTTGCACATGAGATTAGAGAACTTAGTTGAAAATGAGATTATGGACCAAATTCCGTCATATACCGAGACGACATTGCCAATAAATTCGTACATGATTGAAGTTTTAGATGAATTGAGAAGGGCTAGGAAACATGAATCATAAATGGATAAATCAAATTGTCTAGTGATTCATAGAATGTGATTAAATAATATGACTGTGTATAATCCTTAATGTTAAACTTGATGATAAAAATTGATTAAAATGTTTAATCAGCACAAATTATCTTTAAATCCAATTTTATATAAAAATGGTTTGAATTTTCAAATGTTTTACTAGTTCTTATTTTAAGCTCAAACAGTAAAAAAGATCAAAATGAAATATTTGGCTTTAATTACACTATCTTGCTTAATTGCATCAATTTCATCAGCACCAACTCAAATATCTGACAATAATGTTGGTGATATTGTAAATGTTGGAGTGAGAGCAGATGTTAATGTCAGCAGTCAAGTAGATGTCACATTAATCAACATAATGGCAAAATTATTAAGTCAAAATCTTGCTGTAATTATCCCTCCAAGAAATCCACCAATCGATCCAACAGAATCGCCTATTGAAACGACAGTAGCACCAAATCCTCAACCAGAAATTCCAAACATCCCAAAAATCACACCAGAAATGATTGATCAATTCAGAGGATTACTTTCTAAAAGCGTTTAAATTTTATGTATCATGTGATTATGTATCATATTTTTTGAAATAAATAAATTAAATTCTTTTAAAACCATTGAACTTATTCTGTAGCTGTTATGAATTACTTACCTATTTCAAATTTCATAACTGTCAATAAAATTTCAAAAGTTTTTGCAACAATCAGTCCATAGTTGGAAATCATGAAAAGAAAAATTGTCAATGAGAACGTATTTGTTGATTAATATCCACTCTTATAATAAGCAGGAAGATATTACAATCAAGCAAGTATGTTTTCTATCAAAAATAATAATCTCTACGAAAAAAACGAACGACACATTTTTCAACTCTGCAGCAATCATAACAAACTGAAATATCATTATTTTTTTTTTGCTTTTTAATTAAATTAAAGCTTAAAACATGGAAGAAGAAGTAAAAGATGTTGAGCAAGTTAAAACGGCAGAGGAAGAAGCACAGGAACTTGCAGAACTACAAAAATATATTGAAGAATTAAAGGAAAAACTAAAATCCAAGAATGAATTGCGTGAAAAAAATTTAAGTCGTGTACTTCCCCAAGAAGATTACTTTACCAAGCTTGATTCGAGTCTTAAAAAGAATACAGCATTCGTTAAGAAATTAAAGCAATTTACAGCGGCTCAATTGGATAGTTTATTGAAAGATATGAGTGGATTAAATCTGACAAAATATATTTCTGAAGTTTCATCGGCATTGATGGAAGCAAAGCTGAAAATGACTGATATTCCCCCTGTAATAACGTTGTGCTCTCAACTGAATCGTATCTATGCTGATTTTGGGCAAACATTCTTTGAAAATTGGCAGAAGAATTTAACGTTAAAGCCTGGCGAAAAAGTTCAGAACATGAGTAAATTAAGGGTTGATTTGCGTTTCTATTGCGAATTAATTAGTGTCGGAATATTTACTAACAAGGTAAGATCCTATTAATACACTAATGTAATCATATTAATAGACAAACTCATTAATTTTAGATGGGTTTGCCGCTTTTGGGATCAATTCTGATGAATCTTATCATGCAAGATAAAGAGGATCACACAAATCTTTCAATTATTCTCTCCTTCTGTAAACATTCAGGTGAAGAATATGCAGGATTAACATCTAGAAAGATTCTCTTGCTAGCTAAAAAGTATAACATTGTATTGCCATCGTCGTCACTTTTACCGCCTGATAAGCAACAAAATTTAAAAAATTTACTCCGTGATTATCATCAAACTGTATGTAAGCACTTGAAACAAGAGCATAAAGATCTCCAATCAGCTGAACGTTCAAAACGTAAAGCAATGGAAGCTCGTGGCGAGATATCTAATGAAAAAAGAGAGCAATTGGAAATGCTGCAATCAAATTATGAGAAACTTGTTCAATCAACAATATCACTTAGTGATTTAATGAACGAAAACATGCCGGAACTGCCTAAAGAGCCGGATAATCACAATGAAGGCAATATCGTTGAAATTCTAGAAGATTTAAATGAGATTATGTTTGATATGTGGGGTGATGAAGATACAAAGTCATTCTATGTCGATCTCCCAGATTTACGGCAATTCTTACCAAATTTTCATGGACGTAAGGAGTCATCAGAGCCATTACCTGAAGTACAACAAGTTACAGAAGAGGCACTGGATGAAGAAAATCCAGTTGAACCTGAATTAAATGTCGAAGAAGAAGCAATTATGAAGGAAATTGAGGAAGAAGCAGCAAAACCAGAAATTGAAAAATCAGCTATTGAGAAGCCACAAGAAGAAATCGAGGAACCAGAACCAGAACCAGTTCAAAACGAGACAGGAGAAAAACCAGCACAGCAAAAGACTCAAATTCTAGGCAAACATCATCTTGAGAATTTCTTAGCTAATTTGCCAAATTGTGTAAATCGAGAATTGATTGATTCTGCTGCTATTGACTTCCTGCTCAATTTTAATAACAAACCAAACCGTAAGAAGTTGGTAAGGGCACTTTTCAATGTCCATCGTACTCGTTTAGATCTTTTACCATTACTAGCAAGGTTTTGTGCCATTATCAACTTGGTGACATCAGATGTCGCAATGGAACTAAGTCAAATGCTTAAAGTTGACTTTAAATTTCATATAAAGAAGCGTGACCAGATTAATATCGAGTCAAAAATCAAGGTTGTACGATATATTGGAGAAATGACTAAATTTGCACTTTATCCACGATTAGAAGCACTGATGTGTTTGAAATTATTGCTAAGTAATTTTCAGCATCATCATATTGAGATGACTTGTGCATTTTTGGAAGTATGTGGAATGTATTTGTATAATTGCAAAGATTCAAGACTTAGAACAAGCGCATTATTGGAACAGATGATGAGACTGAAGAAAGCAATGACACTAGATTCAAGGCATGCTACACAAATAGAGAATTGTTATTATCTTGTTAAGCCACCCGAGGGAGGTGTTAAAGTAAGACAAAAAATACGAACGCCAATACAAATGTATGTTCGCTACTTGATATTTGAGGAACTTCATAAAGGAAATGTCGAGAAAATTGTGAAATATCTACGACGACTTGATTGGGATGATCCAAACATTGCTGATTATGTCATTAAATGCTTGACGAAAGCTTACACTTTTCGATGGCATTTGATTCGTTCCTTAGCTGATGTTGTAAGTGCTCTCAGTTCCTATCAAGAGAAGGCTGTGATGCGAGTTATTGATGGAGTTTTTGAAGATATTCGAGCTGGTTTAGAAATTCATTCACCAAAATTAGCACAAAGACGAATTGCAATGGCCAAATATCTTGGTGAACTGTACATTTATCGACTGGTCGAGTCACAGAATGTGTTTAATGCTTTATATAGCATTATTTCGTATGGTGTGACTTGGAACAATGAAATTTTGTCACCTGTTGATCCACCTGAATCATTATTTCGATTGAAATTGGCATGCACGCTGTTAGATACTTGTGGAGCTTATTTTCAAAGCTCATCGAGCAAAAAAAAGTGAGTAACGACTATTTTCATTTTAAATATTTAACGGATTTCTCAAATTTAAAGTTTTGATAATTTTGTTTGTACACTTTTTCAAACTTTTATTTAACGGTTGAACATTTGTTTTCAGACTTGACTGCTTTCTCGTATTCCTTCAAAATTATTATTGGTTCAAGAAAAGTCATCCAGTCTTCAAATCGTCAACAGAAACTGGCGATCTATTTCCTTTCCTGATTGAACATATGTATAAAGAGTGTCTTCATAATTTACGTCCAAAATTAAAGCCATTCAAGTCATACGAAATAGCACAAGAAGGAATTGAAAAGTTGCGGCAACAAATGTATCCAAATCTCGGAAATGAAAGCGAGAGTGACAACAAAATGCTTAACACGATAATTGAAAATGAAAGTGATTATACATCAGAAGCAATTGTAGAGTCTGATGATGAAATTAATAAGCCACGATCGGAAATTGAAAATTTTGCAGATGACGATGAAATGGATATTGATGAAAATTCTCAAATGGACGAGGGAAAATCAGAGGAAAATAAGGAACCAGAAAAAACTGAAGAAGACATGGAGTTTGAGGCAATGTTTGATAAGTTAGCTGCAGATTCATATCAAGAGAGAATAAAGGAACTGCCTAAAGTCACAACGCGAGATATTCCAGTTCCAATTTCAACAAAAACTGTCAAAAAGACATATGAACAGCTACAGGTAAGGATTTGCTGCTAAAATAATAAATTTAAAAAAAAATTACAAAATTACAAATCAAACAGGATGTTGACGAGACTAAAACTGACTCAGTTCCTTTTGTACTGATGGTAAGGAACACAAAAAGTGGAAAACAGCAATTTCGAAACTTTATTGCACCATCTGACAGTGAATTAGCTAAAAACTTGAAGATGCAGGAACAGAAAATTAAAGAAGAGCATGAACGTGTCAAGCGACTAACATTGAATATCACAGAGAGGCTTGAGGAAGAAGATTATCAGGAATCACTGCAGAAATCGCCAGCATTCAATCGACGACCGAAAGTTCAAAAGTTTAAGCATCAAAAAGGAGTTCCAGACATTGACTTTTAACTTTTAATTTTGCAATTTTAATGAATTTTGTTTGGTTCTTAACTATTTGAAATGGAAAGATTCTTTCGGAAAATTATTCCATTCGACTTTTTATTGATTTAATGATTTTTCAAGTTAAAGCATGTAAATTTAGTCACTTAAAGACATGCAATTTATTTTAATTGAAGCTGAATTTGTATCACTTGTCATGCATTTGATTCAGAACAATACATGAAGACTTTAGTTCATTAAAACATTATGAATGGCTTGTCATGCAACTTCAATTCCTAAGAATTGTTCAATTTATTTTTAAGGAAGATTTTTTGTGCTAAAAAATTATCAACAGTCCAAAATTATTTGAATCTGAAAATCTAGTACAACATCCCTGTGAATAATTTAACAACAACTACTGTATTTCCCTCATTTTTAATTAAAGTTGATATTTTATTTGATCAGGAGATTTCTATTGTCACTAAATTAGTGTATAATCAACTTTAAGTCGATAGCTAAAATTTTTTCTTGAATTCCTGCAACGGCTATCAAAATTTGAATGGGTTTTAAACCATTCAGACCAAACCTGTGAAACTTCAAAACTGCGGTAAAAAATCAAAATATTGCAAAAATTTCAATTAATTTTTTTATGTAGTGGTTTTAAAGGCGATTTAAAATGAATGATTTGCATAGAAAAAGCAAAAAGAGCAAGATCTCAGGATTTGTTCTGTTTGCAATAGAATTAGCCGGTAGAAAAATCAGGAATTGTAAGAAAATTACATTTTTTTGATGAAATTTGACACTGAAAAAGAAAACATTATTGTTTAACTTAACTTTAATTAATCATAGATGAAGACACTTTCGTGACTTCCAGAGAAATTGAACATGCGAAACCAATATATAATCGAATGTCATTTGAAGACCGAGAAAAATTGAAGGATAGAGCTCGAAGATATAATGTTAAAGTTTCGAGCACTCAAGTACGTTATAATTCACTTGGACAGACAATAAAAGAAGTCGATGATGAAAGGAATGAAATTGAGGAAGAAAGGAATCGACGACGTAATGAAATTGAGCAACTTTTAAAAGATGCAGTTGATATGGGAGAATTGGACACAAAAGTGTTTTATTTTGTAACTGCATCGCACTTTTATGAAGACTGTAATATGATCTTTCCTGCCGAAATTGCCTTATCAAAGTACAGTTTAAAGGAAGGAATTATGGACACGGTACATGTAGAGATAAATCCTGGAGAACTTCCAATTGGAAGTGCTTATAAAGCTCAAATTATAGCAGACAGTACACATAGATATCCAATACCACCAACTTTTGGAGAATCAAATTACTTGAATATTTTGACGAAAATTATAGGACTTCTGCCTGAAGAAGAGAAACTGCCAATTTTTTTCACTGAAGGAATTGATGACATGCCGACTGAAAGTAAAATCCATAAAGATAATCAGAGAGTAATCAAATATATTTTTGAAGCAGCACAAGAGTACGATGTGGCAAGTGACTTGAAAATTTACTCTATTCTCGAGCTTTTCTATTATCTGCAAGATGTTACAACAGCACTAAAATATGAACAGAACCCAGAAAGCAGTTACGAACCATTCCAAAGTTTTGCAGCTGCTCAAGCTGCATTTAAGCAGACAGAAGCAGAACTTTTATATAAAACAGAATCATGCGTGTTTCATGAAGGAAATGACTCAATTACATTCTGTTGCTTAAACAAATGCATCAGATATGGATACATCATCTCAAAATGGTGTGCTACTGGTTTCAAATATAAATTAAAGCCTGGTTGTCATTTTCCAAAAAATTATTTGAATATTCATGCTTAAACACTTTAGACTTGATGTAAATGACTGGATCTGAATAAAACTTTATTATGATTATGATTAAGCGAATTATTTTGTGATTTATGTTTATTAATAAGTGTGATTATAGCTGAAATTATCAATTGAACTTAAAAGTTGAGTTATAATAGCCTAGAAACTGTATGACGCTGTTGCAAAACCCATTAGTCAAGCATAGTTTATGACTAGTTGATAACTTTCCACACTCCATCTCTAATACATCAGATAGCAACATCTTTTTTGGAAACTATAAATTCAACAGCTCAGCACAGCAAACAAAAATGATAAAAACAAATTACAATGAAAATTGCACATGCAGAAGGATCGTATCGTAGCCGATTTATTGAACATTTATGTGGATAAAAAGTCGTTTATTGGTAATCAAATTCCTCTATTACAAATAAAGAAAGAGAGAGTCACACACAATTTATGAGATTATTTATGAGTTCATCGAAATGCACATTCATATATCCTTCTATATAATATATTATTCAGCATAGTTTAAATTACACAAGATGAGTCAGTAGAATTTTCTGTCTTTATGTTTCATGGACTAAAAACACACACACAAATGGTGGATGCATAGATGACTTTTTTGGAATATTTCGTTAATTTTTTAAAAAAATGTGTATCTAGTGGGATGAATCATCACATCAATTGAATTGGGAGAATTTCCTGCAATAATAAGAAGAGAATAGAGAATGTATGGCAACTGTATCTTGTGAGGTCAATGATTGAGTTAAAAATTACTATTTGTTTTAAAAAAGATGAGCAGTATGAGAAGCTTATAAATTATATCTCAGTAATGAATATTATGATGTAAAAATTATAATTTGTCGTCCTTAATGTATGCACGAATTCTGAAAGTTTGTTACATTCGCGCATTTTTGGAATAATTCTGGGGTACTGCTAAAGCTTTGACCACTGGGCCAGGGGCGTAGCCAGGGGGGGGCCATTGGGGGCCCGGGCCCCCCCTACGAAAATCTGATAATTGTTTTATTAAGTATTTATAGAGAAGAACCAGTTAATGTTAATGATTTGTCCTCTTTAATGGCCCGTTAATAATTTAATTAAGCACTCTTAATATTTAATGTCACTTATTTTACCACTTTGCAATATTTACATTTCTTTTTAGTACATTTTAGAACTTAACGTTTTCAAATATTTTTCAACCGTTACAAAAGCTCAAAACCTCAAATATTTTTTGTAATCACTTATCAAAATGTTTATATTGTTAATTATGTTCAACCAGAATGGTTAATAAACATATATACAACTAGCTAGTCTATGAATACGTCTCTAGACTAGCTAGATTGGTATGTTTATTCTTTACAAATGAAAAAAAATGTAGAGGAAATGATGAAAGGAATTTCAAAATCAGCACGAAAAATTAAATTTAATGTATGAATAATGAATTCAATATTTAAACTTATGAAGAATGAATATAGATTTAAGGATACAAAATAACGGTTTTTTAATTTTCGAAAATGGGCCCCCCCCTTAAAAATTTTCTGGCTACGCCCCTGCACTGGGCCATAATGTTTAGATCTTCAAGAGATCAAAGATCCTTAACAAGAGTTCAATAAAAGTAATAAATCCAACAATTGCCTTCCAAAAATGCGCTCATACCATCCACATGTATGAAAGCTCTGAGTTATAATGTGTGAAGATGGAAATTTACGTGACTTATGAAGCAAGACGTGACACAATGAGTAGGAACGAATAAGAGACATTTTTTTTGTTAGTAACATACACTCAACACGATTATCATCCATAATATAAAAAAAAGTTTTTGGATGTTGAACAGCTTTCCATTTTTTGTGGTTGGACTTTGACAAAAAATTCAATGGAAAAAGGAAAGTTCTCGCCTTGAATTGAAATTTTTTGCGTACTGTGTGTAAGTAGAGAGTAGGCATTCTATGTTAGACACTATAGTTCCGTTTCTTTGAAATGCTTTTGCGTTAGTTCATCATAATAGTATCCTTCAATTACATTCGACGTAGATGGTGCTGGTGGTTGTGGAGCACGTCCTTTTGAGTGTTTTGCTGGACGCTTTACTTTATTCTCACTTCCATCTAATGACGATGCTAAAGAGACACTTGATGATGATAAGTGTGTAACAATTTGCAACGGATCATTAGTGAGCATAATTTTTGCATTTACGGTATTTGTTTCAGTCTCTTTTACGTTCATATTTATATCGCTAACGTGGGTGACTGATTCTTCAATTATTGTTGGTATTAACGTGTCTGTTTGTACTTCTTCATTCATTATTTTCAATTCATTATTTGTGCATTCTTCGTCTAGTTCTGTCGCTTCGTTATCTTCTTGAATAATTAATGGAATCTTTAGGTATTCTTTATGTTCATCGTCTGAAACAGCATCCTTAAATTCATCAAATTCTATTTCTTCTTGGTCAGTCTTATCAGTTTCAATGACTGTGTCACCAACTTTTGTAGTCTCTAGTTGCTCATTTGTCACCACTTCATCAAAGCTCAAAAAATTAGAATCATCTGGAATTGAGCTTGATGAATTGACAAGATATTCTAGATTTTCTTCTCGCTTTTGAACCATTAAATTAGTTACATTTACATCATCTGCTTTACTATTCGACACACTGACTTCATCGACCAAGGATTTATTATCCATACAACTTGTAACATTGATATCATCGTTTACCTTTTTTTCATCCTTATGATTGGATGATGTAGCCAGCGGCAAATTATTTTCTTTGAATGCTGACTTTTCATTATTCCTTTTCACCTCCATCCATTTAAGAAATTCTTTATAATCAACATCATTCTTTGTCGTTTCCTTTGCTTCGGTTGCTTTCTCAACATTCTCCATTTGAAGCTTGCGATAAGCTAATATAATCTCATCAGCTGTAAGCTCAAGACGTGGGGTCGATGGTTGTTCATCAATTTGATTGCATTCTGGTGCTTTGAGTTTTCGTGATATATCCGTTCCTACATTCTCCTTCAAAAGATAATTTTTGTTTTAAAACGAGAAAAATGATTTCAGCGAAATTTTCTTCTTTTATGCCTTATTGAACGTAAAAAATTATTTTATTTTCTGTTTTTGCGCATTTTTGCTTCTTCTTTTGGCTTGATAAGTTTATAAGACGTTGAGCAGTTGTTTTGAAAACATCACGTGTTTATTTTTTATGGCCAATAAACATTGAAAATTTGAAATTTTAATACTTTTAAATCTTTAACTGTTGTATGACTTTGGAACATTTAAAATTGGCTGTTGTATAGTTTTGATTAAGATCTGGAAATTATTGGTTGTTTGACACAAATCTTTCAGTTCTTTAAAAATAATTTCTAGACAAATACAAATTCGGAGATTAAAAATGCGTCTTGTAAAGAATCTAATTTCACACTACAACAATCCTAAAACTCATCATTCTTACTGAAAAATGCCCTTTCAATTATTTCTCATGTATCTCTATGAAACTCACCTCAATAAAAGCTCCTTTTTGATGCTGTGATATTGGATAGTGATGATACGATGGTGATGTGGGACTGGAATAACCCGAACTCATCATGCCATCATATCTTGTGAGTGAAAAGGAAAAAAGTTGATAAAAAATTAATGAAACATCCATTCACATTCTAGAGAATGTAGCATGTCATCCTACTTGTAATCAAACGATGGCTTGCGGCGTGACTCGAGATTCTCATAACAGTAATTCACTTGATTGTTTCCATAGATTGGCATTTTCTCAATAGAATATCGTCTCATGTGGTGAATGTCATCATTGTCATCAACTGATTGAATTGTTCCTACATCCGATAAATTACTTAAACTTATGTTCTGCATTAATTGGTGTGAAACAATAAAACTGCTATCAGTTTTTGCGTCCTGCATGATAATTTTATTTGCATAGTTTACACTCTTTGAACTTAGTCGGAATACTTGCATGTAGCCATGTTCTTGTGCTAATTGAATCATGTCGTCTATTTCCTGAAAGAAAATTATGAATAATAAGTATTAAGGATGTGATTAACTGAAATATTGACTTGCCTGTTCACGAGAAACTAATATGGGATGAATAATATTTTTATAGATCTTCATACTACCACGACTTGTCGGTCCTAGAATCCATATCAAGAAAATAACTTTAATTTCATTGTAGAATGGGAACCACGGAAGAAGAGCATCTGTGACTAGTTCAATGCATGTAAATAAGGCATATACAATCCAAAATACCAGCCATTTAAGGTATTCTTTAAGGTTCTTATTTCTCACAGCTTTAAATGATCTGTATGCTGGATAAATTATAGTGAATAATATTTTAAATCCAGGATATAGAACTCTATCAGTAAAACTTCTCGGCGCAATGAAAACAGCCAGAAGTGACGTCAATCCAAAAGACATTACACTCATTCGCGGGAATGGAAATCTTGAAATCATTTCCAGTAATGCGCTAATACGATACAGCAATTGTTTGATGAACTCTTTAACACCGCTCATTGACACATTTGAACGACGAGCAAAAACAGCACTATCGATGTTATTTGTTTTACTATACGCTCTTACAATCGATCTATTTTCATCATTGCCAAAATTTTCATCACCATTCTGCATTCTGTTTACTCGTACATACGACTGCTGTTGCCTTACATTCTCAGTCATGTCAAAGTCATCAGTATTATTTGTCACTTCAAAGCGATTGATAAGATCATTTATGTTTGCAGTTTTACGATACATTTTCGACGAAATGTGAGTAATTTGAGGATGAGTAATGTCTTATCTCTAAACACTTCACAGCTCCAGACCAGTAAGTTGAGTATTGAGTAAGTGTGGCAAACAAACAATTAAAGCAATGAAATGAAAATGATGAAAATATGTTCGGGAAGTTCTCTGCGTTGAAATATTTCTTTCCCTCTTCTATTTTTAAATCATTTTCTGTGCTAAATAATGATATTTTTCCCTTTCTGGCTTCTCTTCTTATTACTTTTGTTTCTACACAAAATTCACTTAAACTGCATACTTTTCTTCTTACACGATCACTCGATCATGATTCTTAAAGAACTTTTGAGTTTAATCCAATGACTCACGAATTTTCTGTCTGTCAACGAATGCAACAAAGAATGAATTGGAAAACCCCCAAAATATTTAGAAATATCAAGTTTGATCTTCGAGTTACAAATGAACAGCACAGACTGAAAAGGGATATGAAAAATCAGAGAATTTTCACACAGAGAAAAAAAGTCTATTTTTGAATAAATGAGAGATTAACAAAAGGTTGAGAAAAGTGATCTTCTCTGTTTATTTGTCACTTTTGCGGCGCTGCCATGTGATCGACGTCTGTTTTATGTTATTTTTTCTTTTTCTTCTTTCCTTTTTTCTCTGAGAAAGAGATTAATGCACAGAGAATGAGAGAATTACTCAGCATTCATGTGAAATTAGGTAAATCATTGAGTGCAATCGTCTGTGACGGAATAATCTATGCTCAAGGACGTTATGTGAATGTGATTATGCAATTAAAATTAAAATAGCACGCGTATTATGAGAATTAAATGGGATTTACTCGGGTAATGTAGTTTTAGAATAGATTTATATGCAGTATATATTATGCATTCATTTAGTGCGGGATTATGTTGGTTTTATGAACATTTTTGGATTTAATGGAGCTTATATGGGAATTTTGTTTTAATTATTATTCTGAATTAGTAACTTACCCTGTTTTTTCGTTATAAGCTAGTAGCTTAGAAGAATAAAAAAGTGATTTTTTTGGATCACTAGTAGCTTAGTAACGAGTAGGAGCTTAGTAAAGAAATTGAATTTCAATGAAAATTTTGAATTTTTTAACTTAATTAAAGACATTTTGCTATCTTCTCGATTTTATTTCATTGACAATGTCATAAGACATTGAAACTGATACTTAAAAAGTTGAAAAAGATTAATTAAACTATATTTTTAGTAGTAGCTTAGTAAAGATTACAAAAAATTTTCAAGTTCAAAAAAACTTTACTAAGCTAGTAGCTTAGTAACGAGTAGTAGCTTATAACGAAAAAACAGGGTAAATTTTTTTTCTGAAAAATAAAATAATATTTGATATGGGGTGGGGGTTGTGGGTTGGTTACAGAGAATATTCATCCAATAAGCATTATCATACAAGTTTAGATACATTATGTTTGTATCTACCACTCTTGAAATGTTTGATATTTAAAGTTTACATTTATGAGCATGCACGGAATTGCTTAAATTTTTTTGACACTTGCAAGCACAAAAAATGAAATACAATTGGATTGTTTCCATTAAAATCACTAAATTTGAAATCAACAACTTCTTTAAGCAATAATAATTAAGTCATAAATTTGACACAGATCACTAGCCATTAACTTCCGAAAGATTCAGAATTTATGATCCGATTCGACCTTGATCAGAGCATAATCATTATTACATGATCATAATATTGAGACTAAAGAAGTAAATGAAAATTATCTGTGCTCAGTCCGCTCATACTCTCAATAATCTTACAGTAACGATCAAAATTGTACTTGTATATGCTGCTTATTACAGAAAATTGTTCATATATGCTTTAGAAAAAAAAATCTACTTGATGATCAGTCACAACGCTACATTTGATGTGGTAGGACGGAGTAATTATGACTATTCAAATACTTCAAAAAGAGTATCGATATCAATACTTGGCAGCATTTATTGGTAATTTCTAGTGCGGTGGCTACTTAAGTAATATTGTGTAAAGTTTAATCCATCTATTCTGCATTCTTCAATAAAATTTTGTGTTGTGCAAAAAATCTTGCAAAATTGTGTTCAATAATTACTGTTAACTTCTTCACTGTTGTCAATGTGTTCGCCTGTATCTCGATAATTTTTAAAGAGAAGTCCATTAAAGATAGTATTTCAATACAAATGCATCACAGCAAAGAGTTAAAAAATGCACAAACGAACAATCTATTGTCTGCTCATTGCATTTATGTGTCAATTTGTTCAATTCAATAGCGGAAATATGTATAGCTAGGTGACAATCACGTTCAGTTAAGGTCATAGACTAACTTTTTGCAGTTGAGCAAAAAATTCCAAACATGAATGAAGAATGACCTTAAAAATGAGTAGCTCGACTGTATAGTTAAATTAGACAAAACGAGGAAGTGTAGATGAAAAGGAACAAGAAGCATGTAAAGGTCCAATAGTTTATAATTTAATGTTTGTAGTTCTTTTATTGATTAAGACTTTAAACCAGAATCATGAATGTAAATTTTTTGACATGACTGTCATAACATCCGATTTTATGGGATCATTCTAAATGTTGTCTAAAACTTACGAAGGAGTCAAGGTACACTTAGTCTTGGTGTTCGTATTAAATTAAATTGGTACATAAAGAGTGTTGAGGTCATAAAATTCTAATTTTTGTGAACGTCATTTATAAATGACTCCAAACTTAATTTCTTGTTTGAACAAATTTTAATTTAAAATGAAAGATTTGACGAAAACATTGTAAATTATCAGCTACAGAGCATGAAAGTGTGATTCTATGGGTTATCATATATTTTTGGAACTTAATCATTGAACATGAAGAAAGTGTTCATTTGAAATGACAAATTGTTTTGAAATGAGGCACACTTTTGATTGGTTAACTCAATCTTAAGATTATTCTCAGTTTTCATGCGTTAAATAAATAATTTCATGTCTACACACAAAATCTAATTGCAAGTCAACTAATCCATAAATTTCCCGCAACAGTTCAATTAACTGCATTCATCTTCGGAATTGTCATCGGTTTCACCGGTCCAAACTTAGAACTCTTTAAATCCGAACACTCTCCACTGAAAAATGGAAGGATAACCGAAGAAGAAGAATCATGGATCAGCTCACTCTCAGCTTTTGGTGCAATAGGATTCGTTTTAATTTTTGGATGGATATCCGAAAGATTTGGACGAAAAGTTGCAATTCTACTCATTGGCATTCCTCAAACAGTATGATAAAATGATTTATATAGGCAGAATATGTGAGTGATAACTTTTATTCAATTTACAGTTGAGTTGGGTATTTATGGTCCTAGCAGATGATGTCTTACTGATATATATATCACGTTTATTGTCTGGAGTTGCTGGTGCGGGATGCTTCTTTGTCGTACCAGTTTATGTTGCTGAAATATCTGACAAGCGAATTCGCGGTACATTGTGTGCATCATTTTCAGTCATTTGCAACATTGGAATTTTTCTCGAATTTATTATCGCTGAATATACACATTTTGCAACTGCTGCAATATTCGTCTGCTTGGTGTCTGTTGCTTTTGTCGTTGGATTTTTGTTCATGCCTGAATCGCCGCAATATTTGATATCAAAAAGAAAATATGATGCAGCTGAAATTGCTTTTAAGTTTTTGAGGGGACAAAAGCCTACAGAACAGCTTGTAGCTAATCACTTGGATGACTTTAATTCACTAAGGCAAATCTCAAAAGATGATAAGAGTGAATCACAACTGAAGATATTTAGGCAGCACATTTCACAGCCAGGAACAATGAAAGGAATTTTAATAGCTGTCGTTGTTGCACAATTTCCTGTGATGTCAGGATGTTTTGTGCTGATTACATTCAATCAAGGAATATTTAAAGCTGCAGATGCTTCACTTTTGAGTGTCTTCTGGTCATCCCTTGCATTTGCATTTATTCAAATTATCGCAGCAATTTGCACAGCTAAATATGTCGACAAGGTTGGCAGACGAAAGATCTTAATCGGTTCCTCATTTTCAACTGCTTTTTGCTTGGCAATTTTTGGCGCTTATATGTTTCTTAAAACCAGAACTTCTGTTGACTTAACTAGTGTTTCATGGATTGCTCTAGTGAGCTTATTAGTGCAAGTCTTTGTGTCATCAATTGGCATCATTCCAGTTCCTAATTTCTATGCACCTGAAATTTTAGATCAAAAGGTATTTTTTTTTTATTTTTCGGTTAAATCCACTAAAATTTTTATTTTATTATTTTATTCAGGTTCGAGGCCTTGTCATCTCAGTATGTTCATGGTGGTCGTGGATTGAAGGTTTTCTCGTAATAAAGTTCTATCCATCAATTGCAGAATCATTTGGTATAGATTCAGTCATGTTTTTTTTTGCCTTGACTTGTTGCTTCTGTGGATTATTCACCGTTTTCTTCTTACCTGAAACAAAGGGACGGAACATAGAAGATATTGTTAAATCTATTGGAAAGTCAGATGACGATAACAATAATAATGATTCTGACAAGGCTGTTCAAGTCAGTTGATTCTTTGTCATGCAGGTTGTGAAGTTTTTGATTCTTTTTGTAATTTATCAAAAACGGATAGTATAGTACCCGTATATATTGCATGCCATATTTGTGGGAAAAAATGTTAATACTGGGTGATATGGAAGTAAGTTTAGGAAAAAGCATTAGGTAAGATTTTTTGAAATGCAACTCTTCCCTATATATTCTTGGTTCCTAAAAAATTCATTCCATTTTATTATTGATTATTTCGTGTCTATATGTATTTATGATTAATGTACCTCCAAAAAAAGAACTTAAGAAATGAATAAAATATCTAATCTAAGTAGTCTTTGACTTTCATTTATTAAAGAATATTCTTTTTCGGATTAATTTTTCAAAGACTAAAAGTGAAGATGAAGCTATTTAAATTTTGTGGGAAGTCAACAAAAAATCAGTTCATAGCAACAGGAATCGGTAATTTGTAGCTTGCCAATAGCCTAAGCTGCTTCTTTATTTTTGCTTTTTTGATTCATTTCAGTGAATCTTCTTGCATTTAGTCATGGTCTTGGTCTAGGCTGGTCGTCACCAGCTGTTCAATATTTTGCATCCAAATCTACCCATTTGAAAGGTGGACCTTCAAGTCCTAGTGAATTATCATGGATAGGTATGCAATTTATAGTTTTGGTGATTAAAACGTTAAAATTTTTAACCATTTTTTCGTTTTTAGGAGCATCAATCACATTAGGAGCTTTAATTGGAACAATTTTTGCTGGCTCCTTTGCTAACTGTATGGGAAAGAAGAGGACACTAATGATTTTGGCATTGCCAAATTTTGGATTTTGGGTATTGACCTACTTTGCAATCTCAGTCAAAGAGATCATCATCGGAAGATTTATCGGAGGAATTACTGGTGAGAATAATTTTAGAATTGACTGTCCACATCATGCATAGCATTATTGTTTTACTCATAGGCGGTGGAATATTCAGAATATTGTCATTGTACATTGCCGACATAGCTGAAAACAATATTAGAGGCGGATTGGGTTCAATTTTTCCACTTGTTATGTATACAGGCATGCTAATCATGTTCATTATGGGATCATACATCAACTACTTTGTAGTATCTGGCTTATCAGCAATAATTCCAATATTAGCATACTTTTTGATGTTCAGATTACCTGAAACTCCTCATTTTTTAATTCAACGGAACAAATTTGACGAAGCTATTAAGTCCCTTAAGTTTTATAGAACATGCCATGCTGAGAGTTCAGTTGAAGAAATTAAGAAAGTTGAAGACGAATTCGAAATGATGAAAATAGCTATCCAGAATGCAAATTCTGAGAATGTACAATGGAAAGATTTTAGTATGTTTCTTGCTAGTTTCATTTTTCTGAATTGTTTAATAATTTATCTCTTTTTTAGTGACCAAAAAAGCAAAGAAAGGTATGACGTTTGGAATCTTTCTCGTATTTCTCCTGGCATTTTCAGGAAACACAGTCATTATGCAGTACACAGCATTTATCTTCGGAATAACTGGTTCCTCACTGCCTCCAAATGAAGCATCTATTATTATAGCTGCAATGCAGGTCATCGGAATTTTAATCATGGGCTTACTTGTCGACCGAATTGGAAGACGAAAGTTGATGATAATTTCGTGTATTGGATCTACGATAGCACTTACTCTTATGGCTATTTATTTATGCTGCACAGAAACTTGGACTGGATTGGGTGGCGCATGGATTTCGGTGTTTCTGTTGACCCAGATAATTCTGTTCAATTCCTTGGGCATTTCAACTTTATTGTTCGTCATGTGCGTGGAAATTGTGCCTTTCAAGGTAGGATAAATTAAATTTTACGGAATGAGATTGCTTAATCATTAATTTATTCATTTCTTCTAGATACGCGAGTATTTTGCCCTTATTTCCATGATTTTTGTGTCGGTTTTCATGTTCATCACTCTAAAGGTAATATTCCGTAAAATAGTTTCAAGTAAGTCAATTATTTATTTTTTTCCTTAATAAGGCATTTCCTCAAACTGCTGTTGCTCTTGGACTATCGACATGTTTCTGGTTCTTTGCCTCTATATGTGGAATCGGAGTTTTCATTTTGTTTTTCTTTATGCCAGAAACGATGGGGAAAGATTTACTTGCTGACCAGTAGTGTCCTTTAATAATACTCTAAATTCTCGGTTGTAATATTTCGGAAATTAAATATCAAATTTTTTTTATTGATTGAAATGTCTTGAATGTGCTGCATATTTGAGCTTAAAAATTAAACAGCGAAATAATCTAGTACGATGAATGAAAATACCGTTTTGCTAAAGTTTTTATAAATTTGTGCTAAAACGTGAGGGAGATTCACATTTTTTTAACGGTTGAAAAATATTTAAAATTGGTAAACAAAATTCAAAGTAATTTGCCGAGAGTGAGTGACATAGTTGAATTAAAATATTGTTAAATATCTAAGGATTAAAAGTTTGTTTAATTTGAAAATACATCTTAACTATCGGTGAGCCTAATTTCATTTATCTAGTATAAAATTCCTATTTTAATTCATTGATTTTCGTGTGCAATTATTAATGATTGCGATTTTAATTTAAAATTCAATAATAATTTACTGTATCTCCATATTTTGCTGAATAATTTATTGTTATCGGCTTTTCGAGAACATTCGACATGTAAGCATGTTCCAGAAAAATCATATTATAAGTGCAAAGTACACCTTTTGTAAGGAAATTTCAGATAAGCATTTTCGAGATTTTGTTTTTTTTTTGACAATCATTTGAAATCAAGGCAGTCTAACCGAATGATTATGAGTAATTGATTAATCTTTAAAAATTGATAAAAGTGCTGGCTGTGATAACAATCTATTTTGTCGACTCTGTGAAATTGGGCAAATGTTTAAATCACTGTAAATCACATTTAATTTATTTTTCATGCACCACGTAACAATTCCCTGTCATTTTTGCGTATCGAGTAAGAGTAACAAAGCATTGTGTAAATACGGTTATACAAAAGAAAAACTTCTAGAAGCTTCACATTTATGAGTCATTTATTAGAAACGTCTTTAGTGATTGATAATGCTATTTCTATATCTGATGAGCATTTAGGGGGTCTACGATTTTATGTGAGGCAAAGGTCTGAAAATTCTAATTTAATTGTCTCGAGATTTGATCTTTTTTGGACACTTGGAACATTTTTGATAAAAAATACAGTTATCAATACATATTCTTCTGATTATGAATCATTTCTTTACTTTATAATTAATTTTTGGCTAGTTGCCGATAAAAAAATATAATTAATTAAGTCGAACACTGATGAACGCCCAAGACTCGCACGCAAACCTGAGGAAGATAAATAATTAAATGAAAGTCACATACAAATTTGGATCGAACTTATAAAGGTGATTTCTTCGCGCTCTTGTGAAGTATATGGCAAATGCCAAATTTAGAACAAAATTTTTTATGACGCAAAAAATTCTTTTTCTGATGATTTTTCGTAGGATTCGAACTTAAGCAGATTTGATAAAACATTTCACATGGTAATTTGCTATTAAATAGTAATTGGCCCGCATCGAAAATGAATTCTAAGTCATCAAAGACCACTTTTTCTTATTTTTCATTAATTTTCTCCATTAAAGCATTTTTTTATATTTTTAACTAGTCTTATAGAACTCGCCGAGACAAAGACTTTAATAACAAATTTGAGTATGTACAATGTCTAGTTCCTTCTGTTGAGCTATTCGAATATCCTCCGATGACGTAGAATTTTCGGGAATGGGTATTTTGAGTAGACAAGACCTCTCATATCTCTTTAATTTAAAGCTTACACTTAAATATTTCTGCACCAATTTGTGCAAGTTCATCTAGTTGTTCATTCAAATTATCATTTTAAACAATAAAATGATTGGAAGTTACTTAAATTAACACTTTATATTTCAAAATCTTGTAACGATTGTCATTTTTTGAATTTTCTTGTGTCGGTGAAACAATTTTTTGTCAACAAGAAAAAATTTCTTTCGAAAATTGCTGCAAACATGCTTAAAACCTTAAGTTGCCAATGATTTAAGGCCAGGAGTATGTTTTTTATGTTCCATTTTAAAAGCGTTAAAGTTAGGAATCGATGTGTATTAATAGGTTTTTCAGATATTAGATTTTGGCAAATATTCTCAAAAATGCGGGAAATTTTCAAATTTTTTTAAACCGTTGCTTTGAAATTCCTTTTATTTTTGACGCAATTCAAGTGTAATTTACTAATAGTAAGTTGTTTTAACAACTACTAGTCTCGCTAGGGATGTCTTATTTTGGAGATTAATGCTTCAAACAATAAATTTAAAGCTTAAAAAATTGATTTTGATTTTTCGAACTCATTTTGTGGCAAGCTCATAAGCTTGAGGTAAACATAATGTTCAACACTATCGTCGGATCTAATTTTATATTGAAAATTAAAAATTATACACCATATTTAAATTTAAACCTCTTAAGCAATAACTATAGTTAATAGAAGACAGCAAAAAGCAATAAAAATTCCCAAAAAATATATTATTGCCATAAAAATGCGCTTGTATATTTTCATAATTCATAAGCATTGCTTTGCATCCAGAATATATATCTCTGCAAAAAAAAAATCTTCATGTTTCAAGACAGGAAAAAGACATTAAACTAGCATTACGGGCAGCCATAAAATCTTACATTTTTATGATTCTTGATAACTTTCCCTGACACACTTTCGACGAGAAAAGAAAAATCTTAATGATGTATGTTCATCGATTTTTTTAACAGTTTTATGCATAGACTTTTCTGTCGTGCCCTCTAACACAGATGATATGTTGAAACCTTTCTTTTTTTCATATTCTAATGTGAGATAATAAATTTTTGTCACATTTTTTATGCATGACGAAAATTTTGTCATTGTCAGAGCACAACAGAAGGTTTCCATCAAATAAGAAAGGGTTAAAAATATGAATGTTAAAAACTTTCTGAAAATAGTTGGAAGGAAATGCTGATATATGACCAAACTGTCGGAATGAAGCAGCCTAAAAAGCCTTAAATTTCAATTTATTCTGTCTAAACAATTCAATTCACTTTGAATAGAAAAGTATAGTCTAAAAATGTAATCAACAATTTGGCAAGCCAACTGTAATTGAATTCATAAGCGGATTATTTTTATTACCTTTCTTCTCCTGCTTATGTTTGTCCTTATGATCTATTTTTTATTCGCGGGCTTCATTCGTAAGCACGTGTTGATGTTAAACAGAAATTTTCATTTAAAAATTATAATATAAATGACATCTAGTGAAATCCTGATTTAATACACCTCTCTATTATCTCTGCCGCTGAATGTATCTTTCCATCCTCAATAGTGGACTTGATTAGGAAAAAGCAAATATGAATTTTTGACGACAAAATTGAATTTACATTCACAAAACGTGTATAATGTACTTACACTAGAAAATTTCTTGTTCCTTTGAGAAACACGTTCCATTGTTTTCACACAATTGTGGGTTTCTTTTCTATGATCTGCTAATTTTTGTGTAATTGATTAGATGATAAATTTCCATGGTTGAAAATTTCAATGAGAAATTAGCAGAAAAAAAAACTTTTTAAAAAAACTACGTTTTTCGCGTGGACTAAAAAGTAGAAAATAACTTTTCTTCTTGGTTGTATAGAATTTGGTTTTAAATTATCAGATTATATTTAATAAAGTTTTAAATCCTAGTCAATATTGTTCACAAAGTTTCGAATAAGTGCACCTTGATCTTATCGTATAACTCAACAACTTAAAAACGTGGGCGCATTAATTTAAGTTTATCATTAAGTATTGATTTCACATAAACATATTTCTTCTTTTATAATTTTTATTTCTTTTATAATTATTTTCTACTTTTTAGTCTTTTTCTAATGAAATAGAGAAATAAAGATTCTAGGGGGTTTAAAGGTTACAGGTGTGTTGAACTCCACTACGTTTCGTTCAACTTTTTATAGATTACAGGACGTTAGTTTGCTATTCTCCTCTTTGCTTGTGTTTTACAGGATTTAAATTAGAAAATTTGGGAGCTTCGTTCAACCTTACGATCTTTTACTTAATTCGAAATCTTTTAAATTATTTGATATAATTTAAGTCATATCTCGAAAAATTAATGAAATTCTTTATGATATGAAGAATTAAAACGTCCTGAACTTTTAATATGTGCAATTTCAGTATATGTTAAAATGCATATATTAATAAAGTATATTAAAACTCAAATCATAATGCAACGTAACGGGTTAGTATTTTTCTATACCAGTCCATAGCATAAAACGTCTTGATTCTTAGAACAAAGATCTCAACCACATCTAGGAATTAAATATATTAGTCCTGTATTTACGATTCAAGTAACGCTCGACAGCACAATAAGAAGATTACACAAATTTATATATAACGTATTTTTCGAGATTCAAACTCATAACGGATTTTTCAAATTTAAATTCAATGAATGTCATTTATATGTTATGCAAAAATACGTCAAGCCGTTAATAAAAAGAAAAGTCAATTTAATTAAATTGTTGAAGTGTTATGAACAATGTAATACATTAAAAACAGCATAAATTTATGCTTAAACTATGTGTGCTAAATACACATCGCATATTAAAAGTTATTTTGCATTAATTCGGAACGGACTTGTGCTTAACGGTTTTTTTGAAAATTCAAATTTTAAGTTACGAATATTCATGAAAAAATTCCTTGTCAATTTTTGTATTCTCCTAGAAAATCTTTAGCTTCTATATTTTACAGTATAATTAATAATTCGTAATATTAATTAAACTATAATGAATCTTATAAATGACTTTAGAGCATCACAAGTATAATATTTAATGCAAATCAAAATTTTATATAATTGACATTGGATTTTTTGCCATATAAAAAAGTTTTACATAAATTGTACTATAATTAAGCATTTTTATGTTTCCAAAGTGTTAAAATATTGTATTGTCACCGGGAATACGTGTGCATTAAAAATTTGAGCTCGATTGGAGCAGTAGAAGTGGTCGAAAAATCGATTACAAAAGTACGAAATTTTGCGGACAATCAATCAATCAATCAAACAGATAAGAAAGCAAGTTAAGAAAAACGTAGTAAAATACTTCCAATATAGGTGATAAGTTTATAAAACTCTTAACA